TTAGCATAAACCTGCTCTGAACAGCCTAAATCAGGAGAGCGCGATGAGATTATTGAGAACTCTGACTTACAACAACAATCCTTGGTTCATAGAAGCTTCAAGCTAGTAGTCCAAAAGACACCAGATTCGATGCATTGCACTTCACAGTGAAACCTGCCTTGTTCCTTCTCTTCTTTAATTGGCTTTTGGACACGTGAGGGATGGTCGTATGAAGTGTATTTCAAAAAGTCTAATTCCCAATAAAATCAGCTGTCCATACATATGACATTCGAACATTATTGACTTTCTACCAGCCGAATATGCAAGCAATTGCCCAGCTATTTCACTTGCCGTTCTGAGATGTGTTTTCATTTAAACTTGTCATTGCCCATATACTCAGTCTTTCTTCTATCAATACTGACCACTTTGTGCATTCTTTGACATGCCCAAATCTATGCACCCAAAAAATCTTTTACACGTGAAATAGTCTTCGCATTTGCTCTCTGCTACTTTCGCATATCATGTTGTTCCTGCTTAGGAGGTCCGTTGAATTTTCGAGGAAAAACTCACTTTGAGAACGGCACTTGCATGCCTTAGACATATTAAATTTCCATATTTTCGGTTTGCAATCGTCGAAGTTCCGACTAACAGTTATTTCCGATGCAGGCTGTTGTGGATTTATAGAGATTACAGAAGGCCAAGCGTGGTTCTCGATTGGTTAGTACTTCAAGAATAGACAATTTGTTTTCGAAATATCTAAAAATTATTTGGAATAAGGTCTGATATCCCTAAAGTTATTCTCTGTAACATGTAAATGTGAGCTTCAAGTAGAAAAGAATCCTATGCATAGAGAATATAGAAGACAGGCTCCTGCAAACACATAACCACTGCTTCCTGCACACTTAATTGGATAATGGAACCCGAGAAGACCCAAGATTTTCTTTTGGTAAACGAGTTGCTTTCTGAATACCACCATTTTTTGTGGAAGAAAACTAAAGCAGCAAAGCATCCCAGTCATTTCAATGCAAAAAGGAGAGCGGTACGGTAAAAAGATGAAACTGACTTACCATTTTTGGGGCAGGCGCATTCGTGTCCATGCATTGCATGCAGATGAAAAAGAAGCACTTGAAACAAATAATTTTCACAGAGACAGCTGGTTCTGTTTGACTGTGACTGAAAGGACACTGTAAATCTTTCTCCTTTCTTCTTTCAAAAAATGAACCTCCCTGACTAGGTCTAGAACCTCGCCTGAGTCCCTAGTTTATCCATAGCATGTGCAAAGACACTGTGCTCTATCGAGGACAGATTGTGTCCATAAGAGTAAACAGTACAAGTTTACTACTGTTTTGGGGCAGGAGCGAGCTGTATGATCAGCTTTTTTTGACTCTCTGATAAGTAGTGTTGTATTTTTGAGAAGGTACAAGTTGATGATGAAGATGATGATGATGATGATGATGATGATGATGATCAGGGAATAAAAGTTTCAGCTCAGACACGTGATGGAGCCAGAAGGGATGGAAATTCATCAGGATTGACTGCATGTTGTCTCCATTTGTCAATAAAAATTTCGTCCCAAGATGGCTGCAGAGTAATTTTCAGGTACCATTGGAGAGCAGTATCGAGGGAGCCTTATAAGTTATAATATAACAAATTTAGAACTCATATTCATATTTTCTTCGATTTGCACAACTCAAAAGGAAAGTAAAAAAGAGTTTTCCTAAGACGCGATCGATAAAAGTTAGGATTTTAAGTGAGACTGATGCAAGTTGTGGACAAATATGCGTCTTTAGAAGCAACTTGCATGAAAAATCATGTTTCGTCCACGGTGACCCTTTCGAACTTTCCCTTTTTCCAAACATGATTAGCAGTTACACGAAAGTCTTCGAAGAGGTCCATTGTTCAAGTTTGGATAAGAAATTTTCCAATGAACTTGCATTTGCAGGAGCGTTCGTGGTAATCCAAATCATCTGAAGCCATCTGAGATCTATTGAAATGTGCTTCTCCAGCATGTTTTTCGACCGTAATGCTCGAAAAGAAAAAAATCCGTCGGCCAGCCTCTTTTGGATCTCAAATTACATTGTGTTATGAGCAGAACAAACTGTGATTTTTTTCCCCTTCTTTTTTCATTAAAAGCTGGTTTGTCCTGAAGAAGTAATTGGGCTTTCATCGCTTCAGTTCACATGATCCAAGCAACCTAACATTGTCCAATCCTTGACATTCTTCAACAGGTAAAATTGGTTATAAGAGATCAACCGAGGTCATTATAATAGGCTCAGCAAAAGCTGAAACTGGGTCCCCAAGGTGTAATAAATTAGGTTGACCATCCCCAATTATGTGCTTTCTGCACATCATTTATCCTGGATATTCAATGCACTGTCAAGCTTCAATATACTCCATCCCTTGATTAATTTTGACCAAACCCACATGAGAAAGAAAAGTGGAAAAAAAAAATTGCTAGCACACATAGACAATTTGAGCAGTCACAGCCATCTGATGCAAACATGTTTCACTGAGCTTTCTTGAATTCCATCCCCATTATGTATTCTGCATCACTTCTCCTGAACATTCAATGCGCTGTCAAGCTTCAACATATCCATCCCTTGATCAAATTTGACCAAACCCGCATGAAAAAGAAAATTGGAAAACGAAAGAAAAGATTGGTAACAGACATACACAACTTGAGCAGTCACAGCCATCGGATGTAGACACGTCTCATTGAGCTTTCTTGCATTTAAGATGGACATGGAGGTGTTGAGAGATGATTCCACTGAATCATGTGGATTCACCGCTTGTGTCTGTCACATGGGTTGCCCATACGATGGAGGGAAAACAACATGAGAGGGCTTGAGAGTCTTCACATTAATCTGGTGCATATAAGCATGAGGTGGGTCCAAACAGGTATTGCTTCTTTTCTTTTCTTTTTCTTTATTGTTTTAATTTTTCCCCTCCCTTTTCTCTGATAAATCATGCCCTCATTTAATGAGCATGTGTAGTTTATCTTCTGTCTATTCACATGTGTAATTTCATGTGGCAGACCCTGCTCTTGTTGTTTTCACTGTATCATTTTCCTGCTCTTGAACGGGTTGTGACGTTCAAGGAAGCATGGCATGACAAGATCTAGTAATTGGAAGCAAAAACTTGTCCCCGTGAAATTTTCCGCAAATTATTTCTCTTCTCTTTGGCAATTACTGAACTCTCATCTATCTTCTCGATCTCAATTTACTTAGTCGAATTCTTCTACGATTCTGGATCATGTGTCTGTGTGAATGAACTGAGATTGTAGATGATAATGACGTTGGGTTTAGAAGCTCGTGCCTTTTTCTTTTTTCCTACAAGAGCTACTACACAAGGATGCTTCATGATAGAAGATTAATTCCTCTCTTTGAATGTGGTTGCCACTTGTTCTTTCTGAATTATGAGGCAGATATAGACTGTATTTTGCAGTCACATGGTCAGAAAATGATGTTCTGCTGGGACCTATCATTAATTGGCTCTTCCATTCAATAAGATTAGAAATACGATTCTCTGTTTTTCACCAAGGGGTAATCTACTATCTTACTGCATCAGCCTCTGATGGTCTGGCACTAGCAGCACTTGAAGAAACAAGAAGTAACTCAGTGATCTTACCCTAAAGTTTGGTCAGGAGCAACATTAACAGCTTTACCTTTGTCTGATGCATCGTGTGTATGAGGTGCCTTGTGGTACAAAGATTTGTTCTATATAATACCATAAAAATTTCAGCGATCAAAGACGGAAAGAGAGAGAGAGACAGAGCGAGGCAAAAGATTATTTAATCATGGAGAAATAAAGATCAATAATATGAGACGTGATTTGTGCTCATTACTGTCTTCCTAAGAACCATTAAGGCAGCGGGTTCCCTAGCCCGAGTTACCGAAGAGTGTTATGTAGGATTGACTCCAATGGGCCCTCCAGCTTTGTTGTTCGACATTGCCTTGTGCATAGACTTTCTGCTACGAGATCTTTGGTAGTGTGGCGATGGTTCTGTGTGACTTTCTAAGTCATGATAAGGACGTTGGCCTTTAGCACAATTAGGGATGTGTATGGTCTCAAATAAGGCAACATACATACCATTACGTAAGCAGTGCTGTTAACTAGAACAGGAGTTTTCAAGTGTACTGTCACTCGTTAAGGACTTGACTAGGGTCTACAGTCTTACAGGATTCAGGCTTTGTTTCCTCTTTTACCCACTAACAATGAGATGGTTATGATTGTTTGAGAATCTGACTAATCCTTACTGCGTCCGACGCTGGGCGACCCGTGCACACCAGATAATTATAGGAGAGCACACATTCAAGCTCTTGAGGCCACAACAACGAGTCCGTGTCTTGACAAGCCCATCACTGTTGATGCCACCATAACGGGCTCTCTGGCTTACCCTATCACAGCACCCTAACACTTGTGTAGAGTCGCCAAATCTTTGTACCCTTTGATAGAAAACAAATACCTTTCTTCTGTCAATTTTTCCCCTGCTATGATTGGATTTTCTGTGCAAATCAATTCTTCATGTTTCCTCTCTTACCTAGGTTTTGCTTATTAATCACGGTATCGCGGCAAAATTATCATTACACTGCAATTTACCTCATACACCAAATGATGCATCTGATAACTTTTCTAAACAGGAAAATAGAAGAAAAGGAATATAGAAGAGGGCATCAATTAGCTTATTGCATGGAATTGGTTTCACACTGACATTGAAGATTCCATGAGACTTGAATATTCGCTTTATAAACTTCAGCAGCTTATGAATAAAGATTAGACATACCTCAAGGGAAGCAGAAAAGCACAACGCAGTGTAATCCTCTGTTAAAAAGATGTTGGCATGATGCCACGGTACACTGGGCATCTGTGACTGTATTCTGTTAAAGCTTTCAGTGTTTTGCTTATTTGAGATCCGGAATTCTAAAGACAAACTTTTACCTGCAGATGAATCACAAACTTGCCTGAGAGTTATCATTTCCCTGTCAACAATTATAACATCCAAGAACAGGAAATTCCCGGTGGTATCCAAGTTTTCATTTTATTGTCTATTGTCCTCATAAGTTAAAAAAGAATGTACTTTTTCTTGCAACATCGATTGCTTCACTCACTACCCCTGCTTTGCAGTCTCGTGTTCTTATAAGTAAATGAAGCAATGTCTAAACAAACATTTTATGGTATCTCCTAAACTTTCCTTCTCCTATGACTTAAAATGAAGTTGTCGTCGTCATCACTGTCCTGGATAATTCTTCTCTTGGCCTTTAAGTCGCCATTTTTTGAGGCTTGCTGTTTCTGTGAACTCTCGGGTTTGCTAGGTGTATATGGTGACTTAATGGGGGTTCCTGTGCGTATTTGCTTTTGCTTCTTCTGTTTCTTCTCATATGCTCTTTTTGCTCTTTCAGGGGACAACAAGCCATGTTCCATCATCCTGTTCATCATAAGCATGAGAAACCTTCTGAGTTATTGTCAAATAAAAAATCAAACACGTTTAACAGGACTAGCAATACATAGCATCATTTATTAACCAAGGATGTGAAATAATAACCTACTGCAATATGACAAAAGCGCTAATTATAGTGCTGCGGCAAAATCCAAGCTTGTTTCTTAATAGAATGCCTCAATGCTCAGTGATTGCTAATAGTTGGCCTGTTCCAAGCTAGTTCACATCTATGCAATGCTATTGAAATCCTGGTATAGCAAGAAAACTAGAGAATCCTTTCTCCTGAGTTTCTTCTCCTTAACAAATCCAGGGGAGAATCTGCTCACAAAAGAATGTAATTCCTCTAGAACTAAAGATTTTCTTGCAAATTGAAGCTTTTAGATTGACGAATCACATTTGCATGAGCAGAATTTGATGTGCATGCGTAGTGAGAGAGAGAGAGAGAGAGAGAGAGAGAGAGAGAGAGAGAGAGAGAGAGAGAGAGAGAGAATTGTAGGTGTAGAGTTCATTGTGCCAAACATAGGAGTTGAAAAGCATATTATGTCAAGATTCTACAAGACCATTCCTTCACGTCTTAGTTCAGTTGATTATCTTAACATTTCACCTAGCTGTCCCCAAATTAATCCTCATGGCCACCAGTCAGTAAATTTTCTCAAGATAATTGAGCATCTAAGCCAGAATAGAATCCATCATCTCCTCAATTTGAGCAGTCAGAGTTCAGCTCTGTTATGACAACAAAAAAGTTTCTATACAGTACATTCATCCCTATAAAAAATCTTCAAAAATCATATATAAAGTAACTCGATTTTATCAGACTCAATACTAGGATTATGGGTATACGTTCCAGTTCAAGGAAAGAACCATGAGTTCTCTAGATCCAGCAAGTTCCAGGAAGTTGGCTGGTGCAGAAATTCAAATCACCACCTAAGTACAACCAGTTATAACAATTATATGAAATACCACACCTCCTTCTAACTTTCTCAACTGGGTTTTGGGGGGGGTTAAATTGAAGGTTATCCATTGGAGTTTTCCTGCATGTCATCTCATCCCCAGCCGATGTTCCAGTTCCCTGTTTAGCCACTCTAGCTAACTCTAGCTAACTCTATGAACTCTGCTTTGACAAACTTCACCTAGTTTGTAAACAGGAACCTTTTGGAACTACAGATACTGATTGCTGATAAGCATCACCTCTGGCAATGAAACAAAGAAGAAACACGATTCTTCCTTGTTCACCTCTTCAAAGTCACCTCCAGCTGGCAAATATAAGCTTAAGACCATGAACTCTTTACCAGAAGTCACCAAACATAGCCTACATTTCACTAGAATTACTAGTGGCAACAAGTGGGTGATTACACGACACAAATTCTAACACAAAATAAATCCAAATTTACTTAAATCACAGTTGACAATTAGAAATAACAAGAAAAAATTACTAATCTCAACCACCAAACAAGGATCATAAACAGATGGAACATGCCTGTTTCTTACTTATACTCATTGGAAAAATCAGAATTCTATCATAAGAGGAGGTCCTTAGGTAAAACCGGTTTATATACTTCCAGATACAGATGGCTTTTGTTGTATCAAATGGTCACCAAGTTAACAGTTTTCTTTCTTGAGTAATTAGAAGCAAGTTTATCGACGAATAATTTACTCTTTGATGAAGAAATCGCATCCAGAACATAAAACATTGAACAGAGATTACCATTGTGTTCTCTTATATCCAATACAGCAATTTACAATTGAACTCCTATGACGCAACCGTCGTAAATAAACAAGATCGTCAATACTCACCAGAACTCTGCCATTTCGCTCGTTGGGATTTGTTTTGACAACGACTCGTAAAATATCCTCAAGGGTTCTCTCTGACAATAGGGAACAAAACAAAAAAAAATGGAGAAATGAATTTCATTCCAACACCAGCTGACATTTTATGCACAAGAGTTGCTTGGCAGTAGATGAAGAACCTCTTCAGGAGGATCAAACTTCTGGCCGGCCAAACTGAACACTTTCTTCTCTCTCACTTTAGTGGTCGTCGTTCTCGTCGTCGCGGTCTTTGATGAGCTCGGCGTCGTCTTAGACTTCACCTTCAAAAACATTGACATAAAACCTTGTCATTCTCAAATTCGCACCACATTCAAAAAGCGAGAAGAACATAAAATTGCATTCGAGGAAGAACCGGATAAAACTCGATTTCACTTTCAATGTCATTCGTAGAACCTATAATCCATCAAACGAGCTCGACTCAATCGACTGAATCAATCAGAACACAAATCAAGATCGCATTTCAGCTGCAATTTAGCTCCAACCGCGGTTGATCAATCAGAACACAAATCAAAAACGCATTTCAGCTGCAATCCAGCTCCAACCGCGATCAAACCGCGGTCAATCAATCAGAACACAAATGAAAAACGCATTTCAGCTGCAATCCAGCTCCAACCGCAACCAAACCGTGGTCGATCAATCAAAACACAAATCAAGGTCGCATTTCAGCGGCAATCCAGCTCCAGCCGCGACCAAACCGCGGTCGATCAATCAGAACACAAATCAAGATCCCATTTCAGCGGCAATCCAGCTCCAACCGCGACCAAACCGCGGTCGATCAATCAGAACACAAATCAAGGACGCATTTCAGCCGCAATCCAGCTCCAGCCGCGATCCCACTCCGCACCAACCCCCCCGTTTTCAAACAGAGAACGGCACAAGCATACCTCGGTTTTCACCACGGCCGAGGCGGATTTGTGCTTCGAGGCGATGGAGTCTCGGCTCGAGGAGCTCTCGATCTTCCTGCCGTGAGCTGCCGAGCCGTCGAATCTCACCTTCATCGTCACGCCGGATCTGCTCTCCATCGCCGCCGCCGCCGCGATCGGCCGGGATTCCCCCGCTGGACCGGCCCCGTCGTCGTCGTCGTCGATCGGATCCCCTCACCGGCGACGGCGATTCATGCGCGATCGCGATCCCGTCGGATCGCCGGATCGAGATCGGAATTCGAGAACGCGGAATCTGGAGGAGAAGAGGAAGATCGAAGTCGCATTCGGAGGTCAAAAGTCCGTTTTATTTCTCTCTGCTTTAACCGCCCTTTTTTTAACTTTAGCTTGGAACCTCTTCTTCGTTCGGTGAGACCGGGCGCGGCTGAAATGACTCGAATGCCCCCACGCCGCCGCCATCCGACGTGGAACGGATGGCGAGACGGTTGCGTCCCGTCGCGCGTGAACGGGACGACGGCTGCTGGAGGAAGAAGTCGTGCCCTTGGCTTCCGGTAAATCTTGTCGGCGTGATCCGGCGGCTGAGATTGGATTTCTGGCCAAAGATGGATGTTGCCGATATTATAAAAAATAATATTTTAAACTTATTATAATTGTGTCAATTCATTACTGAAATTTTTTTTTTGCCAATGAAATCTTAAACTTTTTGCATTTGTATTAATTCAGTCCATCTGGCCAATTTTGACCAGAAATCGCCGATATGAATGTCAGTAATTTTACGTGACACGACTAGCTGATGTTGGCGGGGAGAATTTTTAAATTAATAGTTTTTTTGAATTTTTTATTCATTTTTATTCTTTTTTTTCCTTAAACTTAGGACCAACGACCCTCGCTGGCCACATAGGCAAGGTTGCCGGCATTGGGCGAGGGCGAGGGCGCGCGACCCCTCGCCCAGATCTGGTGAGTGCCTCAACGCCCTTCCAAATCTGGCCAGGCGAGGGCGTCCCCCGGATCCTAAGTGCAAGGAAAAAATTTTAATAGAGAGAAACTTTTCTTGTGATTTTCCAAACACATTAATTTAATGTGGGAAGAATCCCGAGAAAAAAAAAACAAGATGTATTAGATATTTGCCACTTTGATTTGGAGAACAATTTTCCTCATTTCAATTTCAAGGACGTTTTTCGAAATTTAGCCTAATGCTTTCTCCGAATTGTTTTCACTCTCAAATGAAAATGAAAAGTCGAAAAAATAGACAATTTCACGAACCAAACATGCCCAAACTTTTAATTTTTTCCTCGCCTTGCGCCAAACTTCAATAAGTACAACGATCGCTGTACGAAATTTCGTTACATTTTAAACATCCTGTGCAGGTTTTTTCTTAGGAGTGTTGCAGCATCACAAACTTTACGCAAAAGCGCAAGTTGCATCTTGCGGATCATAGCAAGATGCAGCATGGGTCGCGAATCTTTGCTAGTGGGTCGGCGGAAAGGAGGCGCAGAACAAAGCAAGATAGACAGGTCAAAAGCACAAGAATAAAGCATTCATCCTCCATTGTTCGTCTCTCCTCCGTGCTTTTCTCTAAGGAACAGATCACCAGTTTGGTACAACAAAAACACATGACCAGATTGCTCCCTTCTGTATCTTTCCTTGGAACCCGTTTCGATCTCGCCCCCACATGCGGTTTTTTCCGTCGTTAACTTGACCCGATACGCGCGCAAGAAGAGGAACCCTTCGGTGTTTACATCGAACAGGCATGAAATAAATGATCTTTATTGGTGGATGCTCCATTGGCAATGAGTAATATACTCTGTGCGCAAGCGCAGCTGATGACTGAATAACTGGGAAACAATTGAGGAAGGAAATAGAGCGTGGATGTCTGTACAGTGTACATTTCTCGCGAAAATCCACTACCCGAACCACTTATGTACATCTCTTTCAATTTACCATATCTACCTGGGGTTAATTTGAAACACTCTGTTGAACCAAATCGAATGGAGTATCATATGAAAGATGTCGTACTTAACTGGCCTACTGTGCCAAAGGAAATGCTGCTGTACCTTCTTGACCCGCATCTGCATCCGCCGGTATCTTTTCTCCGGGATAGAGAGGAGTATGTTCTTCAAGTTTGGGATATCCTTCTCCAGTACAAAAACGGCAAAGGATTCCCAGTTCAGAGTCTCGAAAAACGGGGGCACGAAATTGTCGGATATGATCACGGGCACGCACTCGTAGAAGATGGCTTCCACAACTCTAGGACTGTTTACTTCATAACCTTTCGCGCATATGCAGTACTTGCTACTTCTCATGTGCTGAATGTAGTTCATATTACCCTTGTCGTTGGGCATGGGACCGAATATCCTCATGTCGGGATCTTTGTTGCCCCAGTGCTGTAATAGAATCGGCCTAACATATCCGTGCATGTTTCCAGCAAAGAAAGCCAGGATTGACCTCCGAGAAGGGCGTTTGCCTCCAAGATTTCTGAGAGGTTTCTGAGCTGACCGCACATAGGTTTCTGGTAGCGAGACATCCTTACCAAAAACAAAGCCTTCTTTGACATCAGAATTGCAGAGCGCCCTTATGCACCTGGCCATAACTCTCCTTGTTTCAGATGGGGCCTGAGGAAGTTTTTGAAGGAACTCAGAAGATGGTGGCTATAAATAAAGCATATAGTTACAGCAGACGAACTAATGTGATTTGCATACATACGTATGTGCTGAAAGTAAAACTTAAAGCATACCCAGTCGTGGCAAGCTACAAGAAAATGGTCTGCTCCTCCGGTTCTATTCCAGAATGGGTGCTTTCCCTTGATAACATCCAAATAATTTCGCAAAAATTGTATAAGGTTCTTATGACTGTGGGAATTGGGGACATACAAGGTTTCCTCGAGCATCCGAGAGCTAAATGGCAAGTAAAATAGGTGGGCCTTTCTAGCATGCTTAGTAACAAATTTCTTGTTTGCTTCCAGTAGCTTCATAAACCATCCTTCAGAAGCGTATATCCCTTGGAGCACCGGTTGATGTACAATTGGCTTTTGTCCTTCCTTGTAAATGTATACTTTGAGCATCTCTTCCATTAATTCATAGCTCCTGCAATTTTTCAGTTATGATTTTAGAGCAAAGAGTTGCAAGACATCCTTTACGCAGACATCATCTATGGTGTGAACCAACTTGCATTTCTTTTATGGACATGGTATAGGTTGTGAACCTACTGTCTTTTCTTGTCCAAAGAAACCTACCATATCAACAGTAAACTTGTTGCCCAAATTGGAATTAAGCTGACTAGCTGAGTCACTAATTTAACTCAATAGTTCTTGAACCTCATAAGGAGCACTTCCTACTCAAGTATACAACTTTTATGCCCAGTCACGAACATAAAGCTATAAGACATAAGTAATATCTTACATTAAATTCACCCAGCTTGATTCCCCATGTTCATTTTACCATGCATAATGACTAGAATGGATTTAATAGAAAGAGTGCTGGTAAAAGAAACGAAAAGTAAATGATGCAGGCTCTCGTGTATGAATTTGCACCACAGCACAAACAACCAAACACCCCCACCCACCCCCCCCCCCCCCCCCCGCCCCGGTTTCGGAAAAAACAAAAATGAGAACAAAAAGAAAAAGGATCAAGTGCATGTCTTACCTTTTGAACATGGAAACATTTTGATAAAGAGGGGCGTACAGGCTTGTGTCACTCATGATGGGAGCATTCTCAATTTGCAATTTCGCTTTTAACAATTCTTGATCAACTACTGAAGACCACTGTGGCTTCTGCAACCACAATGCAAACATGTGAATTTCTACAGATGGAGTTCATGTTACCACGGTCCAATAAATAAAAGTGCAGCTCTTACCATTGACCGGTACGCAACACGGCTTTGAAGCAATAAAGCATTCATCTCTGCTATTGTAATTACTTCTGGTGTTGGTGCCTGAGGTGTTTTATACCTATCGTGAATGGAAGCAGTAGGAGAACTGTCACTTAATGAGGAGACATCACCCTGCATTTGGTTAGACTTAACATCTTGCTTAGGAGTTGGAGTCCAGTATACTTCTGTCGAAGAAGTATTGGAAACAGATGATGGAATGGAAATTGTCACATGGGGGCCTTCTTTTATTGATGAGGCGGAGTTCGAAGATGAATCTACAGGTGGAATTGCACGTGCAGGTGAGGGAGCTATATAACTAACTGTGCTTTCATCATTTTCAGGTATTTTGACATTGTTCTTCTTATTGGCAGCTGAGGAGTTACTGTACATAGTAGAACTATTTAGAGAAAGCCTCTCATTACTGTCAGGCACCATAGTTTCCTCCGGTGCATATCCACCGATTGATATATTGGCAATGGGCGCGGTAGTTCCATTTACCCCCACTTGATTCTCTATTGATGACTTCTCATCACCAGTTGTATAGTTATTTACACCATAAGATTCATTGGAGACTGTATTACTCTTTGGTAAAGTGCCATTGTACAAAACTGAGCCTCTCTCTTCAAAGCCATGGTCATCCACTCCTTCATGAACGGTAGAAGCAGTAGTTGTGTCCGAGTCATTTGAAAGTGTCTTATTACCTGACATATCTGATATAAATGGCGATTCTTCCACATCAACAATATCCCCTTCAATCGGAACCTTGATTGCAGAAAATAGAGATCCGAGGACGTTCCCACGTGGAAGTTCGATAGACTGAAGCAATAGAACCATAGCAAATGATATTCCCACGAGCCATAGCAACTTTCTTGTCTCCAGCTGACATATTGAATGAAATTTATGATCCATTGGGAAGCAAATCATTAGCTTGTAGCCTCTAAGCTCAAGATAAAACCCTGCAGACCCACAACCCTGCACATTTTTCCAACTGCAAGAGTCAGCATTCCCAAATTACTGAACCAAAATGTACATGATTTCCGCTACTTCTATGTAACCTATAAGTAAATGTTACTGAAATTGCTAACTAGAGTTCCAGATGCAAGGAAAACAGAGCAACTCCAGCTCCATAGAGTTAATGTTACACAAAACATCAGCAATATCTGTACAGCGGCAACTCTGTTTCCCTGGTTCTTCTATTGAAATACGAGAGCGAAAAGAAGTGTCTTAATTGAAAGGTTGAAGCAGTCCAAGCAATTTCAATAAGGAAAGCATAAAAATTTAGCAGCTGCACCTACATGCTCAACCAACAATTAGGAGAGTTTATAAGAATGCTAAAGAGTCCTCTCCATTACTTCATAAGTTGGCAAAGCCAATTTGTCACGCATCTACACATAACGCATAATTCTAACATACCTAATCGGGGAACTCAGCCAATAGATCCATTACCCGGGTTTTGGCATCAATCTCGTCATGCTAACGCAAAGTTACATGCGTAATGGGTACAGAGCTTCAACGGCAATATGGTCGAGTCTCTTCTTTGTTCATTTCAATCCCTTCCCATTTACTTTTTCAGTAAACAAATAGAGGGACACCTGAGCTAGGCTTTTCAGTTCATAAACAGTGTATGAATCATATGGAGGGACTCATGCAACCCACTAGTTAAAAATTCAAAGCAAAAAATGCATGACAGCAGGGCAACCGGACCACTACCAATCTTCTTCTATCGAGCATTTTCTCCAACCAACGAGACATCAATCCGCACTAAAACGAGGTCGAATTTCGAAACTCCATTCGACCACGCCAGATGCGGCACCCCCGTACATCCAAACGACACCCCTCGTCTTCACTGCCGAAGACCCACAACTCCATTCACCACCCCCCCTCGCATTCCCCGGAGCCACGCCGAATCACGGCGGCCCAAAAACGCGACCCAACCTCGCCGCGCCGCAGCGAGCACCGAGGACCACCCAACTCGGCGATCACCCACCGTCAACGGAGCCAAGAACCGGGGACCCAGCTTCACCCACTTCACCCCACCCCTCTTCGTACCCAAGCACGCACCACATCACACGACAAGACACGGGACGGACAAAGAGCTCGGACCCAGAAACCAGCACCGAAGAGGCGCCGATCGGAACGCGACACTCACCGGCGCTCGGCTCCGTCAACGCAAAGTCAACATGGGCAGCTGCAAGAATCGCGAGATTGCCCCCCGCCCCCAGAAAGCCGGTCGAGCAAGCAAAGCATCACCGTCGTCGCCTTCTCGGCGACTTCCTCCGCAATACGTGAACGAACGAGCGAATGATTGAGGGAGAGAAGACTGCTCGAGCGTGAGCTTATCCGGGATTCCCCGAGAGCGCTCCTCTTCTCCTGTCGTGACGAAAGCGAAAAGCAGCCAAACGAGCGAGCCTGAAGTGGCCGGCCTTGGTTTCGATGGATATTTACGCGAATTGCCACTCATCATTTTCGGTTTCGTTACGCACGGCGGGGACCGGGGAAGGAGTTCTGCTGCTCAGGCCCGCGCGCGTTCCGGCGCGTGTCGCGAGGTCTTGTCGAGCGGAGCGCCGTACGATTTTTATATTTTTATATTTTTTAAAAAATTTCTTTTTTTTCCAAATAGTATGGAACTCGCACTTTAATTTTCATCAATTTTAAAAAAAATGTTCTAAAATGTTGAAAATATTGATGCATTCACCCGGCTGGATTTTTTTATCGTCGCATAAGATCATAGTAGTTTTTTTTCATGCATTCGCTGTGCGCAAGTGCAATTATATTATTCTTTAGGCGACGCTATAATGAATCAGCTATACAAAAAACGACTTTGCCGGGACGACGAAAAAAATATATATCCGATATCATTTTCTTTTCCTTTTATTTTTACCACCGTCTGGATTCTTTTTTAGAAAGAAAACACTCGATAAAGTTGGTCATTGCACTGCAAGGAGAATTAATGAGTTTCATCAAATGGGTTTGTTATGAAAAGAAGGGGGCTGGCTCTTCGCTTTTAATCATTTTTATCAATTTTTCTTTAGCCAATTTGACTTCTATTTTTCTCTTCAAAACTAAATTGCATTACAGTGTTCGAGATAAGAGCAATATGTAAATGAGGGCGAAACGCGAGTTTTAAAATTTGGATAGAATGGTGGTTAACTTAAATATATGAATATAAATAAGGCAGAAATAGCGAATAAGTAGTAGCGTACAGGCTCCCATGGGCTCATTTGAAAATCCATACAATGTTTGGCAAAGAAAAATACAATTTCCAAAGAGGATTTGAAATTCCAAACACGCTTTCCTCTCCTAAAAATCAAGGGATAATTACATAAGTGATCTTCAAACTTTGGCCTAATGTGCAACGTGGTCTATGAACTTTAGCCCAATGTGTAATGTTATTATCAAACTTTTAAAATATTCAATGTGATCCCTAAAATCTCGGTACATGTTTAATACATTCCCTGAATTATATGAAAATGGTCGGTATTGTCCCTGAAGTTAAATTAATGAAATGACAACATTGAACATTTTTATATGACTAAATTGAATAAGTAACTACAGTTCATGGACTACATTACACACTGGGCTAAATTTTAGGGACTACATTGCGCATTAAACTAAAATTCTGGGACTATTCGTTTCATCTTCCGTAAAATCAATGGTTAATACCATGAAAAATTCCAAACTGTTACATATGTGACAAATTTACCCTCCGTTATTTTCCGTTAAGTTTTACTGTCAAATTGCTGAGTTAAATGACATGTGGCAGTTGGCAAATGTACCAGTTTAGGATTCTACCTTTTGCTTTTTGTATTAATCCAATTTAACGGATGGCAAATTTGTCGTAAATGTACCGGTTTGGAGTTTTTGGTGGTCAAAAAATTAATTTGAAGTAAATTTATTACATGTATACCAGTTCAAGAATTTCCGTGATATTAACTCCAAAATCAATGTCGGCTTGTTTCAATTGACCAAGGCAACGTGGTCCCCACGCGCCTTTCAACGAGCGTGAGCCAAAATTTCAGACAGATTCTCCACGAGCATGCATGATAGGCCCACCCAGATGTCACCTTCGTTGGATCGATTTCCGAATCATCATCAATCCTCGCCGCAAAACTACATGCACAATTGCACGCCAATTTAACAATAGAGTCGTGCCAAACTCGTGTATAAGCACACCAACCCCTATTCTTTCTTTTTAGGTGTATAAAAAATATTATGTGGATACTAACCTACGTTTAATTAATAATTTGGTAAATAAGTCTCTTTCCGTGCTGAAATGAATCGGGACGTATACGACAAATCCGAGTATCTTACAAAGTGAATTATCTATAATATTATGGCGTAAAAAGTTAGTGGTCATCGTTTCCCTTGCGGGAATGGGGGTTTCCCGAGATGGGCCGACTCAAAGTCTAGAAATATATCTGATTGACGGGAAATTTATACAAAACGTCCTAAAGTTATTGCATTTTTTGTCAATTCAGTCCTAAACCTTTTAATTATGTCAATAAAATCCTGATTACATAAAGTCTGCGTTGCTGATATCAAATCCTGACGGTAATCAGAATTAAAATTCTCGTGTCTTTCGCTTTTTTTTCTTTTGATAACTCAAATCGTTTTCTTGTTTTCACACAAATATGAGCCTGTTCTTCTAGGATCAAACGGATCTTAAAAACATTGATCGCTCTCTTATTATTTCCCTCGCGTGGTGTTTTTTTAACTAGTAATTTTAGACGGCCAATATAAATTTTACTTCATGCCATCAATGCCTCTTACGTCTTTTTACTATTTCAACCATTCTCATCCTACAAGTAATTTATTTCGTTTGAATAAATAAGCTAAATATCTCGACTTTATACTAATAATAATATGGGTTAATACCACGAAAAACCCCAAACTGGTACACCTGTGATAATTTTACCCCAAACTATTTTTTTGACAACAAAAAACCCAAAATTGATACACCTTTGATAAATTTACCCCAACCTAATATTTTGACCATTAAAAATCCTAAACCGGTACATTTGTGACAAATTTATCCTCAGTTAGTTTCCGTTAAATTGAATTAATACTATAAAAAATCACAAACTAGTACACCTGTGACAAATGGAGGATCAAACATAAAACTGGTACATCAGTTAATTGTCGCGTATCATTTAACAAAGCAATTTGACAGTAAAATTTAATGAAAACAAACTGAGGGTAAATTTGTCATAAGTGTACCAGTTTGAGGTTTTTTATGGTCAAAAAATTAGTTTGGGGTAAAATTGTCACAAATGTTCCAGTTTGGGGTTTTTCGTGGTATTAACCTAAATAAATATCTCATAAGTCTAATAAATTTTCGATTCCTTTTTTTTTTTTGGAAAAAAGAAAAGTGGGGGGGTTTTAGCGCAAACGGCGCAACGGCCATGGGCGTCGACTTGCATCCGGCGAAGCCCTTAAACCCTAAGTTTCAAGCTCCCCACACAGAGCACACGACCAGGGCCGCTGATCCCGCCGGTCTTCGCGGCGGAGATGGAGATCGACAGAGCCGACGGCCGCAGCCCCAACCAGCTGAGGCCCCTCTCTTGTTCGCGCGGCGTCCTCAACCGGGCTCACGGCTCCGCCAGCTGGGCTCAAGGTAAAACTCCTCTCTGTTCTTTGCCTTCTTGCGTTTTCTCCCGTAGCATTGCCGTTCGAGGTGTTGGTTTTGTCTCCCCTTCTTTTTTCGATCAAAGGCGTTTCTTTTCGGCTTAATTCGTTTGAAATCGAAGTGGGTTTTGTTTTTCTTGGGGGGATTTCTTGTGGGTGTGCAGGGAATACCCAGGTTCTTGCTGCGGTTTATGGGCCGAAGGGGGGGACCAAGAAGAACGAGAACCCGGAGAAAGCTTCCGTTGAGGTGATCTGGAAACCCAAAACAGGGCAGATTGGTGAGGATTCCTTTTGCCTCCTTCGTATGTTGCTGTGGAGAATTGCACGTTGCATCAATTCTCGAGTGATTGCAGGGAAGCAGGAGAAGGAATATGAGATGGTGCTGAAGAGGACATTGCAGAGCATCTGCATTCTGACTATACATCCGAATACCACGACCTCGGTGATTGTTCAGGTTAGTTGTTCGCATTGTGCGCGGGTCTGTGTTTTTCCATGTGCAGAGGATTCGCTTTACTTCTACGAACGGCAAGTGTGCTAGATGCTAGATATTGGTTGTTGTCCTTTAGTTGAGCTTCGCACCTAATGTATGGGTTTAGTGTCCCTAACCGGTCTATCGATCTTCACCTTATTTTGGCAGCTAGATGTAACCAGGAGGCCAACATTTTTTCAGTTAGTTAATACTGCGTTTAATCAGCACTACATGTATTAGCTTCTTTATTGGTCTTGAGCATTGACGTTCGCTTTTGCTTAATTCTGGTGGGATGCATCTAAGATAGCTTAGCTGGGAAACTTTGGTGGCTTGAGAGTTCTAGAATCTGAGACAAACAACCACCGTGGTTTCTTTTTTCCCGTCGTGCACACCTCTGGAACTTCAAAGGTTCCTTTGAGCTGGATTTTGCTTGATTTCTTGTCCAGCTGCTAGTTATGATGCAAGACAAGTTTGTCATTCTGACAAGTTTGCTATTCATGATGCAAGGTGGTCAGATACAATGATTTGAGTCTGTTATGTATTTTCCTTATGCTGGGTGATCTATTCTATTTTGCAGGTTGTCCATGATGACGGTGCTGTATCCATGATGACTGTGAATTATATATGCAAGTGGTTTCTACAGTCTTTCAAGATGCGTCATCATTTCTGGGTTAGATAGGTGGATAATTTAATGAAGGCAGAGAAATCTAAGATGAAGAATTAGTTAGGGGTAGTTCACATGGAGATAGGTCTTGTAAACTTAGTCTGTATTGTTGTGCTTGACCCATTAAAGTGCCTTTTCTGTTTGTTGTCAGACATTGTAGTGCTAATTAGAGGCTTTTTGATGATCGGAAGATTTTAGATGGTGGTTGGCCTTTGTGATGGCTGAGATCAATCTTAAAGAATGTTATTTGATCTAGGGAAAAAATAGATCAGATATTGATTTTAGGGGCTGATAGTGGATGGAAAAATACAGAGGCAGCTTTGCAAGTTTCTTGGGTATGAATTTGTCAACTTCTGGATTTGCATCATAATTTGGACACTTTTATAGCTTGAATGGTGGTTTGGATTTCGTTGTGAGCTCTTCTTGCCTAGGAAAACAACCGATATTAAGAGAAGATGATGTGTGTCAGGCTTCACTCTCAAGCACTACAATAAAGGCTTTATTAGTTGTGACTGTTGTCGATGTTGGATTTATCCCAAATTGACAAATGGAGCAATAGAGCATCTTCGACTTTCTTGACATAATATTGCACGTGAAATTTCAATTCTGTTCCTTATGAGTTGTTACAATGAAACTTCCTTGACTGAATCTTGGTAGCTTCTCCCTTGTGCCATAAATGCATCATGTGCTGCTCTTGTAGACGCTGGCATTCCTCTGAAGCATCTTGCTGGTAATTGAAGCTCATTGTTTTTTGTAAAACTTTTCATGTCTTGTAACAATATGAATTGGAATTTCTACTGATACTTTTGTTGGTTTATGCAGTTGCAATATGTTGTTGTTTGGCCGAAAGTGGACTCGTGATGTTGGACCCCACTAAGTTAGAGGAAGAGGTGACTTTTTCTTCATGGAGTTTTATCTCTATGGTGAACAGTTGGATTTTCTAAATTGCATCAGTTGATAAGCGCAACCCTTTCTTTTGGCCATTAAACGTCTGGATGTATGTGATGAATAGCTTTATTCGTAGAAATACTTTATGATTTGTGGATGGCGAAACAAGGTTCTATTTGTTTTAACCTAACACAGACGAGATACCATTGCTTGAATTTTATCGGTATGGGCAGTTTATTTAAACAGTGAACAGGTTTTTCTCTCGACAATCTTTCTTTGTTTTCTAAAGAATAATCGGAAAATATGCATATTTGTTTGAGTCTGATGTATTTATTCTTTCCCCAAAATAGCCATGTATGCGGAACACATATTTGTGTATAGTCAGGGATCCAATGACCTATGTTTTCTGTTGAATGTTTTGGCAGAAAATGAAGGCATTTGTGTATCTGGTTTTACCGAACTCGATTCTCTCTGTCCTTCCTGAAGAATCATCATCAGAAAAAGGTGAACAAATGGAACATGGGCTTATTACATCTGTTACTCATGGCGTCATGTCAGGTATTAAATCCAGATGGTTAAGTTTATCATTAAATGTTTCCTATGATAAACAGACTTTTTCAATGCAAAAATTTAAGATTGCTAAAGTTTTTGGCTTTGAGAGGATAATGCATTTCTGTCTCATGAAATGGTTCCTGATTTGGTTTCAACATGCCTCCGTTCAACCTAATTCTGAAATTTTTGGTTTGCTTCTCTTTCTTCAAGTGGATGATTATCTTCACTGCTTAGAACGCGGTCGTGCGGCAACCTCAAAAATGTCTGATTTCCTCCGGAGAAATTTACAACCACAGCTTTCTGGTGACTCATCCAAGGCAGGATGAATACACTGCTGCAATCCGTAGCTCGTGTTTGATATTGACCCTTGTAATTGTCAACAAGTTTCTTTTGTGAAAATTTTGTGAACTTTTAGGCGGATCTTTCAATGATGCTGCAGATAGGGGGAAATATGTGTCTGACTTCCACAGAGTTGTTCGAGACATCTATTGAGAAGCAGTTATACACATAGATAATATATATTTTGGTGATCTTGCTGTGTTCTTTCTTTTGGAGTCCATGTTTGGCTGCAAACGAGAAATTTCAGGTAATGAGTCATCATGAATCTTCTCATCTACTCGAGCTCACAAATGTGGGTGCTCATTTGTACAAGGTAGTTATCAACTTATCAACTTAGTTTTCGTCCCCAAGGCGCACTCCTTTCCTTCTTACTTAGGTTTTGGTCACGAATGAATGGCTACATACTCGCACATGTCAAACCTGTGTAGATATATCCTATTCCTGGTGCACGTGCATCTTGCTGCTATAAACATTGTCTTAGCCGATTGAAATTTGACCATCCCTGTTTTGTTAGCCACATGAATTGGAAAATTACTCTAGGAATGTCATTCACTGGCATTCACAGACGACATGCTAATATCAGTTTTTTTAAATGAAAAATGGGTGGAGAATTCACCTTGGCTGGGTTTTCACCATGAATTCGAGATGGCAAGAGATAGAGGACAAGTAATTTGAATCAGCTATAGGTTTATGATTGTGGATGATGTTGGGTGCGGTTTATATTTCTCGTAGACAGGAAGGCACCGGAGTTCCACTCCCCGGTGAGAGGGCGGGGGTTTGGGAGGCTGTCCTGGCGGGGGTCGTAAGGGGCAACACTCCCGAGCTGTCAGAGGACTTTTATAGTTCGAATTCATATTTTTTTAGTAGTTTGAGTTTGGGCCCATGAATAGCTGCCGCTTATATATAATCTTTTCATCTTATAATTGAGAGTTGTAACAGAGACGTGAGAGGTGCTAATTATAAGGAAATCTTATGTTTGATGTAACCCTAGTTTAATGGTCAGGATAAATCTCGTGTCTCGATTTCTCTTTCTCGTTTTTACTCTCTATTTTGTTATGTTTGTGTGCCTAATCCTAACGGATCAGAGATGGTTAATAACACATCAGTAGAAGATTCTCACATAAGGAAGAGATGTAGAACTTCATGTTGTCATTTTTCATAGGTTACAACCTTCAGAGTCTATTTTCTTCACTGTCTGTCGGGGGTGTGTTTCTTCCAGCTTGACATTCTATTTTGTTTTTCTCCTTCAGTGATTACCTATTTGACCATGTGAACGAGACAATTCAAAAGAGGCATATTCCTCTGACCCTCCAATCTAGCAATAAAGCCAAATAGCATCCCCAACACCTATCAGATAGCAACTCCACCAGCTAGCCACTGAAAATGGAAGCATATGTACACAAGAAGATACTCTGTGAGAACAATGAAATACTTCCATCCTACTCCAGCCAAAAACGAAAGTTCTCTTCTTCCCCAATAATTCTTGACCTAGTGGGCTTAAGGTATCTGACATTACACCCATCAGTCAATTATCAGAAATTTTCACTGTTATCATTGTCTCTTAAAAGTGATTGATTTCTGGTTATCCATGATGTCAAAGTGACATTTTCAAGAAAGTAATCCACGATAATGAGTCTCGTAATGCATGAAATCACCAATTGATGTGGCATGCGACAAACAAGTAGAGCATGCCAAACATGATTGGAGTCTCAACCCATTTTAGAGATCACAGGGAGAAGCGGAGATAAATACTGTAAGGAGTAGTAGCATGTCACATCAACCAATGACGTGGTGTGTGACAATCAATCTAATATTATGTCGTCCTTGGTAAATTGGTACGTCGTTGTCCAATGTGGACCAGCCTCACGAAGTGTCCTCTCTCATTGTATGCAAACTAAGTGGTGATATTTGCTGAATAGAATTTTCAAATGATACAATAATCCTTTATTCTAGGTGGAACAATTAAAATACATAATTGCATTGCATTGACTCAATAAGTACGAGTATTTAAACCCTGTCAACCCTTTAGGTAGAAGGAGAGACAGAGAGATGTCATCTTCACTTATGGCGCTTCAAGTTAACTGCTCTGTGCAGAGGCCATCCATTCACATCAACTTTGATCGCTTCAAATGCAGTCTCTCTCGTGTTCTCAGAGTAGCTCTCTCTCTCTCTTACACACACACACACTCACACATTCACATAAAAGTTGACAAGGTCGATCCTGCTCTTTTGTCGAGCTCCCTATAAGAGTTGATAGTTATATGTAGTCATGTCTATAAGGTGAGCATGCTGATTTTCCTTTGAATGGCAATGGTTATTGTCACTTCTCCTTTAACTACAAGTTTCTTAATTAATGATATGCTCGTCTAAATTGAGTCCATGATCAGGAGAAATGGAGTTAATAATTCAAATCTTGTATGGAGATATAAGCTGCTAAACTGACTAAATGTTGCAACTCCATGAGCAGCCATTGTCAAAAGATTTGCAGCGAGCCCCTATTCGAGTTGATTTTCCGAGTGCTATCAAGAATCTGTGCGTGAATGCGATGGATGCATTCGTCAGTTCAGTGTTCGAGTTCGTGGACCAACCATTGCTCCCATCTCAGGTTAACTTATCGAAACTACACTTCTTTTAAGACTATTTAAAACACAGTGAAGTTCATATTTTGAAGATCCTGTGCAAGGCTAACCGATTTTCGGTTTCTTATTTGTGTGATCATCTGAGCTGTGCAGAGAAATTTCGCTCCAGTCAGTGAGTTAGGAGAAGATGTTAACGTCGACAACATTGAAGGGACAATTCCGGATGATTTTCCGGGGGTATTTACATTAGAAACGGTGAGGACACACACTATGCCAAAATTGTGTCTTGTAGTGAATGGGTTTATCTAAATCTTTTCCACACAAAAGCCAGACATTCAAATGATAGGCCTATAAAAGAACAGATAATGGAGGCATGATATAGTGAGCTATGCTTTTTTTTTTGGGATACTTTTTATGAATAGTCCAATGCGATGCAAGTGCTCAACACAAATCATCATACAACAATACAATATGCAAAACAAAATTGTGTAAGGACACGCACTATGCCAAAATTGGGTCTTGTAGTGAATGGGTTTATCTCAATATTTTCCACACAAAAGCCAGACATTCAAATGATAGGCCTACAAAAAACAGATAAAAGGAGGCATGATATGGTGAGCTATCCTTTTTTTTTTTGGGATACTTTTTATGAATAGTCGAATGTGACGCAAGTGCTCGACATAAATCAATGTACAACCATACAACATGCAAAACAAAATAGCGTAGTTGTACAAATTTGACTATGGCCATGGACAATGAAGAAATAACAAAATATGATGCTCGTTCTTCTGCTGTATTTATCTAAACTTCCTACCTGATAAATCAAAAAGGGTAATGTCCATATGAGATAAGGAAAAATCAAATATGATTTCGTTTGTGACTAATTCCGAGATGTCTGGCTTTCACGGGTGCTTTTCATAATAATGAAATTTCGCCTAGCCAGCATTGTCAATCCATTTCTGTTTCTTACAGATCGCAGGGCCAAATCCTCTCTTTGGAGGGCTAAAATCAACCAAATCCGTATTTGGATGGTCGAGTCACATTTGGATTGATGGAGAAGGGATGCTTCATGCCGTTTACATCGACAAAGATAGTGATGGGAGATTGTCCAATACAACAACAGACATGTCGAAACTGAAACATACAAACTAGAAAAACAAAGGAACAGACCATCCTTTTTACCTGCCATAGAGGGTGATCCGCCGGCCATTTTGACAGCTTATCTACTGAATTCGGTGCTTTCACTGATCTCCTTAAGTTCCTCTTTCATAGTTAGCTTATTTATTGACACATGCAGTCTGGCCAATTTAATTCTGCAGTATTGTATGAGCAGTACATCCTGAACATGTCATATAAACAGTACTAACCGAGAATTCTGCCCATTTTAAACTTTTTCTTTCCAGTTGAGATTTGGGACAGTGAACAAACTGATTAGTAACACTAATGTTTTTGAGCATGGAGGGAAATTCTACTCGATTGCGGAAAATCACATGCCTCAAGAGATCGACATGTTTACACTAGAAACTCTAGGCAATTGGAATGCAGATAGAGATTGGAGTCGACCATTCACGAGCCATCCAAAGGTCTGTCTTCGTGAACCTGCACAGACATAAGCATTGTGCATTGATTGCATATGAACAACAAAAACCAAACTCCCTTGTCTTTTTTTCATGTGGCAGAGAGCTCCAGGTACAGGAGAGTTAGTTATAATGGGGGTTGATGCAGTAAAGCCTTTCATGGAACTCAGTATCATCTCAGGTATTTTTCGAGAAACTTATTAAAGTGAGCTTTATGCAATTTCATTTTCAAAATTGGTAGTATCTTGATGGCCTTTTGATTCAAATTCAGCTGATGGGAAGAAATTACTTCATAAAGCTGATCTTAAACTCGACCGATGTAGCCTCTGCCTCGAGATTGGGGTCACTCAGAGGTTAGCAATATATATAGTGAATTATTTATGTAATCGTACCAGATATTTGACTAGTACACATCGTGGTTCAGACATCTCTATAAGCTTGCAATTATAAATGTAGATTCCGGCTCTGCAGGTACAATGTGATCATGGATTTTCCGCTCACGATAGACATAAACCGACTTGTCAGAGGAGGACCGTGAGTTACCCGCTGTCCTTATTAGAACATTCATTTTCTTGCCAATTCCCATTCTTTCATACAGAGGAACTAAAACAATGTTTGACTTGTGGCAATATTTTAATTCATCATGTAGATTGATACGATTCAACAAGAAAGAGTATGCAAGGGTTGGGATAATACCTCGCTACGGTGATGGAAACTCCATGCAATGATTCGATGTTGAAACAGGCTGCACGTTTCACATTCTGAACTGTTTTGAGGATGGCGATGAGGTAAAATTATTTGGAGTTAAGCATTTTTTTTTCCGAGAATCATTTCTCGAAAAGCTATGGACTTATTTCATGAAACTGAATTACAGGTTGTAGTGTGGGCGTGCAGGGCTCTCGATTCAATCATCCCGGGCCCTGATTTTGGGTTGGACAAATTCCAATGGTTCTCTAAGAGACTCAAACCAATTAGATCAAGTAAAGAAAATGTCTCTGCGACAACTGAAGAAGAAGAAGAAGAAGGGTCATTTTT